AAAGTATCAAATTATACTGTAATATTTACAATATGGTTGTTATGTTATAACCAAGAACAACAGATTATCCATTTTTCATTTATTGAATAAAAAACCAAAGAAAAACTTTTGCCATTTTTATTTTTTATTTTTTTTAAATACTAACTAAAAAAAATAAAGCCCAAAAAAATCGAAAAGACAAATTAAAACAATTTTGTTTTATTCAAACATTAAATCAGAATTGCCATCAAAAAGTTTATTTTAAATTTTCTGAAACCATTATTCAATAAAAATCAACCCTTGTCTTTTTAACTTTGTTTTTAAGAGCCCTGAATAGGTTGTTCATTGAGTTGAACATTATTAAAAAGTCAAATAATACACTAGTTTTTTTTTAAAAACCATTAGATATAATAATACTATTATATAATAAATAATGTTTATTTATATCCGATTTAATTTTTAATTCAATCATTATTTTAAAAGTTTATTTGAGGTTAAATAAATCATATCTTATAATATCAACAATCAACATTTGATACTAAGTTGTAAGAAGCGATTTTAAGTGCGGAATTGGTGCTTAATATGATGTTGAAATGAACCTTTTAAACACAATGAAGCGAGTGGATTTTAAATTGGAAAGAAGTGTTCTAAAAAAAATTATATATAAATTTATTTATTTTTAAACTTTTTTGTTTTCAAAAAAAGAACACTCATCTTTTCTCTATATTAATAGCAATTCAACAAATATAATAGTTTCGCAAATAACAGCAAACCTCAAAAACAAAAGTTTATGTGTGACGTTTTACCATTATTTGTAATACTGATTTTATTATTTATAATATGTAGTCAAGGCAATTCGAAGTTTGAAGAAAGGTTCAGGATGAAACCGAAAGAGTTTTTGATTTGAATAGCCAATCAGTTTGACACGAAATTGTTTTTATATATTGCCCACTTTTATTTTAGAAAAAGGGGGGAATATTTTAAAAATGAAACAACCCCAAAAGTTTGTTTTGTTTCAGTTTTTTATAAAAGTATCTTTTGGAAACTCGATATCAAAACATGGCCAGTCTTGGTTCTATTGAAGGGATATACATCCCACGGTTTGTGATCCCAACAAACATGCAGATCTTACATGCTACAAAAGAACATAAAAAGAGTCTTTCTCTTGAAAGGGAAGAAAAACAACCAAATAGGTGTAGTTTTTCAAAACATGTTCCAACACCCACCTTGAGTTTATCAGAAGATTCTACACCAAGGTTCAACTTTTTGGCAGCGTCTTCACACCACTCCCTCTCGAAAAGTTACTCAAATGACTTTGAAAAAGAAGTTCAGACAAAAATTGAACGAAAAAGACACCACATGACTTGGAAACCGTCGACAATTAAATTTGGAGACCAACCCCAACAAGCTATTTATTATCAAGAGGAACCAATATACAAACCCACTGACAACTTAAAGCGGAAAATCCCATTTTTTTAATAAGAAACAACGAAATTGAATTCCTCAAGATCTGTTTCTATTTTTAGGATATATTGTTATTAAACTTTTTATTATCTTTTTCAGTTGCCAAATCTTAGGTAAAACAAATGAGACATGCTAATAAATAAAACCCACTAAAAAATAAAAATTAATTCTCAGTTTTGGTGTATTTCGTTTGAAGGTTGAACTGTTGTGAATTGTTTTGTTGGTGGACAATCCGTAGGTTGTTGTTGATAAAAAGGTTGTGGTGTAGGAAAACAAGGGATGTTTTGGTTGGGTACTAACGGAAGTCCGCACTGTTTTGCTTTTTCGACCTCAACAAAATACATAAACATTGAGTTCATTCCATTTCTCATCGCCTCAAGTTGTTCAGTTAACACAGTCACTTGGTCCTGGAGTGCTGTCACCTTTTTATCAATTTCCTTTAAAATGTATTATCCATACTTTGTTTTTCACTCTCCATAT